GTCCTGCAGGCCGGAGAAACAGAACATCATGAATTTCACCTCGCCCGTCTTCCTGTTGATGGCGACCGCCGCCTTGAAGGGGCCGCCCAAGATGCGTTTGTTCATGGTTTCGCGAAAAAATGGGCGATGCTGGAGTCTGGCTGGAGGCGAGTCCGCCGCGCGCAACCTGCCCAGGTATGCGAGCAAATTAGCGAACGCCCTGCAACTTGTAGAACTTGTCTACCATCTTCAGCAAGCCCCTGTCCCACGCCACTTTGTCGCCCCGCTGTTCCTCGGAGAAGACCATCGACGCGCCCCCCATCTCGCTTTTCGGCGCGGAGGCGAACTCGACGATTGCGGGGTGCAACCAGTCGCCATGGCGCACTTTCTTCTTCGCGAAGTAGGCCGGGTTGTCGATCATGCTCGCGACGGCCGCTACCTTCTCGGGCGCGGCCGACAACTTGGCATTGATCTCGTTCAAAGCGTCGCTGAGAATGCTTTCGTGGTTGTCGGAAGCAACCTTGTCAACGCTCTTGCGCGTCGTCACTGCCAGCTTCCCCTTGACATTCATCCTGGGCGCCGGGCTGGCACTCGGCTCGCGCCTGCTCGGAGTCCCCGCGGTGGCCGTTCCCATCTAAGGGGCGCGGCCGCGGTGGCTGGGCGGCCGAGCGCCGCTAGCAGCAGCTGGGCAGCGAGAGAAAGGTGTCAAAAACAAGCGCGCGAGAGTCTGCGAATGGCGCCACGCATTTACATAAGCATCGAGATGCTTCGTGCGAACAGCCAAATTGACCAAAACGTTGCATGCTCCCGCTGCTCGCGGTGCCCTCTGGCCATCCCCCATCGCATTTTTGTCGTGCCATTTTCCGCCCCATCCTGACCCCCCCCCCCTCCCCCACCCCCTCCCGCTCTCCCCCCCCCCCCCCCCCCCCCCCCCCCCCCCCCCCCCCCCCGGCCCCTCTTCGCCAATGCCCCCCCCCCCCCCCCCCCCCCGCAAGCCCCGCGGCCCAAGCAGAACAGAATTGCGGGCTGGGCCGACGGGCCGCGAATGATAATGCGAATGCTAATGCATCCAAAAAAAGGAACACGCTCTTTCCAAGAAACCCAGCAACTCCTCTGGGAGTGGGTTGTCTAGAATGGTTTCTCCTCCGACCCCTCCCTCTTCCCCTTCGGGGAGGGGCGCCCTCCCCCGCGCCCCCCCCCCCTGGGCGTGGATGGGGGGACTCGCGAGGCGCTGGGGCGTCCAAATCATGGCCCAACATGGCCCCAGGAGCTCCTTATAGAGCCCAAGATGACCTCCAATATGGCGCAAGATCGCCCTAGACGGATCAAGATGGCCCCCAAGGTGCCCCAAAAAAGTACCCAAGACCGCTCCACGACGGCCCCGGGCGCCCACGAAAACCCCTCCAGGGGGCCGCCAAGAGGCCCAAATCCTTCGAACACCCAAGGCAAATCAGAAATTGCAACCTTGTCGCACTTTCGCTTGCGAAGGCGTTCCGAGGACCCACGACAGCTCCGAGGGTGCCCCCGAGGGCCCCCGGGGGGGCCGAGAGAGCACCGAAACGGACCCGAAAGCGCCCCAAGAGCGCCCCAGGAGGGGCCCAGCGATGATCGGGGCCCCCGAGGAAGGAGCGCAGTCCGTACCCCATTTCTGCACCAAGAGCGCCCGAGGCCCTCAAAAGCACCTCAAGAGGGCCCCAAGAGGCGGCCAGGAGGCCCCAAGAGGCGCCCAAAGAGGCCCCGAGAGGCACCCAAAAGACCCCCAAGCGGCCCTAAGGCCCCCCCCGATGCATCCGAAACGCTCCAAGAGGCCCCCGGGGCCGCCAAGAGCCCCGAGACGCTCCAGAAGGCCTCCAAAAAGCCCCCAAGAGACGCCCGCAGAGACTCTGACATTCGATTCGCCTGCGCGTCGTTTCTGGACGGGCTGGCGGAGATGCGCGAAGCGCCAAATGTTTGCGAGGACCCTGCAGACGGGCGCGTCAAACGTCGTGGCCCCCAGGGCGCCCGGGGCGGGAACTGCCGCGCAGCCCGGGCTCCCGCGCCACATTCCGCGATTGGCGACCCTGCGGGAGATTGAGAATAAGAAATGCCGCGGAAAAACAGCCTTCCTCGTCCCGCGATTCCCCTTTCGAGCGCAGTCTGTCGAGGATCTCCTCGGGGGTCGGCGGAGCGGCGCAACCGCATTGATGCGCCCCCCCTGCCCCCCCCCCCGCCCTGTGTCGATTTGTTCGTTGGTCGCCTGCGACGCCCAATCAATTCTGATGTGTTCCACGGTGGAATATGATTGTCGATCTACGCCAGTCGCAGGAAAACGCGCGCGCGCAAAACCATGTTTGGCCCGTCTCGCACCGCTCCACATCGCGATCGCGGGAAGGGGGCGGCGCAATGATGATGCTCATGTAGTGGGGAATGTTGCCATGTGGCGACGATGGCGACGGTTCGGACCACGGCGCTGTTGCTGGGAAGTGGTTTAATCTATTGAGTTTGCAATGTTTGATTGTTGCCGCGGCATTTTCGGCGCTGCGCGGCGCGCGCGTTTCTCTGCCGCGCGGCCGCGGAGCGGCACTGAACGCGCGCGCGATTCGCGGCGAGGGGCGCCCGCGCGAGCGGTCGCGGACGCACTTTGCGAACTGGGGCGAGCGAACGGCAACGCCCGAAATCGCGGCGAACGCAAGATGCCCGACGACATCGCGCGCGCGCGTCGGGTCAGGCCCCCGCGTGCGCGAACGGGATTTAGCGCCTGGCCCAATGGAACAAAGGGACCGCGATCTCAGATCTCGCGGCGCGCAAGATATCGGAGAGGCCATCGATTCGCGCAACCCCGAAGCACGCGTGCACCTCGATTCTCAAAATCAGAATCTGGGTCGAGGGGTGATGAAGCACCAGTGAGTAGTGGAGATATCGTCGTGGATGGATGGCGTCGTTGGTGTCGCTGTGCGTGGCTTCGCCCCTCCTGTTCGCGTGCCGGCTTGCAAAAAACTTCCATGCGTCGTCGCCCCATCTTTTCTTGTGGCCCCCGTGCTGCCGGTGGCCTTGCTGCTTTGCGTTGAGGCTGGGGGTCCAATTCAACGCAGGGTGTGTCCATCGGTTCTGCGGATGGCTTGAAACGAGTGCGGCCCAACGCCAGACTTTTGCGCGAGGTGTCTGTACTACGTCGGGAAGGTCGTGCTTGCTCATGAGTTCCTCAGCCCTACGAGCGCCCCGGCGGATGAAGTCCGACCACAGCTCGTCTTCGTCTGTCGTCCGCTCGCGGGCCTGGCGTGCGTCGCTGTCGTCACCTTGTGAGCTGGTCTGTTATGATGGGGGGGGGTGCTGGATGCGTCGTGGTCGCTGGAGTCGTCAGGGTGGACGCTGTCTGCGACGTGGTTGCTGCGGCTGTCTGCTGTTGGCGCGGCGTGCGTTCGTAGGGTGACGTTTGCGCGCCTTCTCGGAGGTCCAATGATCGCCCGAACCATCCGCCGTTGAGTGCGGCGAAGCTGTTGTCGGAATGGTTCTGTCAAGGTCCACGCTTCCGCGCCGCATGTCATCGTGGAAATGACAGTGCAACGGTGAAGCCTTAGCCTGTGTTTAAGTGGGCAGTGCTTGCTCGTCAGTTCTTGTCTGTGGACTGTGAAGCATGCCCACGCAGCTTGGATCGCGCGTTGGATCTCGGTCGCCGCAGCATCTTGGAGTATAACCGTCTGGCCGAGGTCTGCCAACTTCCCAGCGTCCATGTTTGCAACGCTGATAGACCGAGTCCGGGCCTTGGATTAGTTGGTCATGGTGTTTGTGTTGGCCGGGTGTATTTCGAGGCCGTGTGGTTTCGCTGTTGTGACCAAGTCTGCTGGTAGAGTCCTCAGGTCGGGTAGCGTTTGGCTAACTAGCAAAATGTCGCCGACGAAGCGGAGGTTGCTGAGAACAGATTGGCTGGCGTGCACCAGTTGGATTTCTTTTCGATGTCGCTGCCATTCTGGAATGAGTGGTGCTAGAACGTGCTGTAGAGGGGTGTTGAAGAGCAAATAACTCAAAAGGTCTCCTTGCTTCGTGCCGCGTCGTAGTTTGAACGGCTTACTCGTGGAGTCGGTGCGTACTACGGCCTGTTGGTCGTGGTAGAGGCGTTGGGGGAAGTGGACGTAGTCGGGCGACACGCCCTGGTGACGCAGTGCTGCCCATAAGCTGTCGTGTTCCACTGTGCCGAATGCTTTTTTGAAGTCTACGGTTGCGATCCACAGAGCCTGGTTCCATTCAGAAGCCCGTTCCCGCAAAATGTTAAAGTGTAAAGAGGTGGTCGCGCGTGCCGCGCCCAGGTCGGAAACCTGTTTGGTCGTCGGGCTGTTGTTGATCAAGTATTTGTGAAAGCCGGTTGTGTAGCAGGCGGCTGAACAGCTTGTAGAGCATGGGTCTAGTACATACTGGGCGGTAGTTTTGTGGGAGAGATAGATCACCCGAATCGGGAATGACTGGAATCACCGTCTTCCGCCAACTTGCTGGAGTCGGGGCGTTTGGCTGGATGACCGCGTTGTACAACTGTAACAAGACATGTTGTAGTTCCTGGCATGGGTTTTTGAACATTTCGGCCTTGATTCCTACGTCGTCGTGTGACTTGCCAGTCTTGAGCTGCGATATTGCTGCCTTGAGCTCTTCGGCCGTGAAGGGTGGGATGCGGCTCTGGATGTCGCTCGTGGTTGATGGTGTGTCGCGGGTGGTGGTGGAATTGTACAGCTCCTCGTAGAAGTTCGCGAATACGTTGGCGATCCCTTGGCGGGTAATGTGCTTGGCGCCGTCGCTCCAATGCATCTCTGTGCTCAGAGTTCGCTTTCGTCTTGTTTTGATGGTACTGATGCGTTTAAGGTCTCTGTGTTGCTCCAGAATAATGTTTTTCTGCTATCTCCTTTCGCTGCGCTTTTGTTGTCGGATGCGTGGGAGGGGGAGGAGGAGATGGAGGAGGAGGAGGAGGAGGAGGAGGGCGAGGAGGAGGAGGAGGAGGAGGAGGAGAGGGAGGAGGAGGGAGGAGGAGGAGGAGGAGGAGGAAGAGGGCCGGTCGCCTAAGCCTTTTGGAAAAACCCTCCAGGCTGGGCTCCTCGAGCTCCTCGTCGCTGTCCGTCTCGCCGGCTCCCCAGTAGTCCAGCGACAAGGACTTGAGAGAGGCGTTGGCCTCGGGAGCCGTTCGACCCGCGCCCCGAGGGACGCCAACAACTCGCCATCGCTCAAACGTCCTCTCCCGTGCACTGTTCGGATTCGTGCGCGGCTTCTTCGCAAGATGATCCAGGATGCTCCTCGATGGCCCTCGCCGAGAACAGATGCACACGGCCGAGCGATGCCAAGACGAGGCCTGCATCCCCTCCTCCACCCCAGGAAGGAGATCTGACGCTACGAGCTTTCGCTACGCGGCCTGCCTAAGCAACAACAAAGGGGAGAGGTGGAAGTCGAAATCCGCCGATCCGGCGTGTGAGTTCTAAAAAGTCTCAGCTACAGCCTACAGCCTAGAGCCTGAGCTTCAGCTCTGCCAGGGGGGGCTCTGCTGGGGAAGGGAGGGAAGAGAGGGGGGGGGGACGAGTTGTGGTGCGCTTTCTGGAGGGGGGTCCGGGCCCACAAGGACCCCAAGACGGGCCAAGAGGGCCCCAAGACCCCCCAAAACGGCCCGAGAAGCCCCCGAGACGCCCAAAGACCGCTCCAAGATGCCGAAGATGATCTCAGAGGCCGCCGAGGCGCTCCAGAAGCCTCCAAGAGCCCTCAGAAGAGGACCCTTAGAGGCCCAAATCATGAAAACAATTGCTCTGGTTTTGGAAAGATTCTGGCCTTCCCGCCTTTTCGGCTTCCCGACTCCAAGACGGCCCCAGAAGCCCCCAATATCGCCCAAAGACGGCCCAAGAGGCTCCCAAAGTGGCCCCAAGACGGCCCAAGAGAGCCCCAAGACTGCCCAAGAAACCCCCAAGACGGCCCCAAAGGCTCGCAAGACGGCTCCAAGAGGGGAGCCAGACGGGGAACCCGAACGGAAATTTCGAACCTTCGGCCCCCAGAAGCCCCCGAGAGGCCCCCAAGAGGGTCCCAAGAGGCCCTCAAGAGGCCCTCAAGAGTCCCCTAGCAGGAACCAAGAGGCCCAGAAGAGGCCCCCACGAGACTCAAGAAAGGCCCCGAGGGTGCCCACAACGGCCCCCAGGATGCCTCAACAGTGTACGCATTGGGCCCCCGAGAGACCTACCACGAGATCCCAACGAACACTGAAGAGCCCGCCGACACCACCCAGGCACGGTGGCGGCGTTGGCCGCCACCGTATTGGCCGCCACCGTGCCTGGGTGGTGTCTTTCTCCTCCTCCTCCTCATTTACGATGGCGGCATTGGCCGCCATCGTAAACGTCACCTTATCTTCATATTCATCTTCATCCTCCTCCAACAATGCGAGGCACTCCTCCTCCTCCTCTTCTTCCTCATCATCCTCCCCCTCTTCTCCTCCTCAAGGGGGGCATCGGCCTCCTCTGCCTGGTCCTCGTCGTCCTCCCCCTCCTCCCCCTCCTCGTCCTCCTCTTCCTCCTCATCCTCCTCCTCCCTCCCTCCCCCTCCTCTCTCCCCCCTTTCCCTCCTCCTCATCTCCCCCCTACTTATCCTCCTCCTCCTCCCTCTCTCCCCCTCCTCCCTCCTCCCCCCTTTCCTCTACCTCTCCTCCTCCTCCTCCTCCTCCTCCTCCTCCTCGTCCCTCCTCCTCCTCCTTCTCCACCTCTTCCTCGTCCTCTTTCTCCTCCTCATATATTCCTCCTCCTCCTCCTCCTCCTCCAGAGGGAGGTCCTTCCACTCCCCTTCCTCCTCCTCGTTCTCCTCGTCTTCCCCCTCCCCCTCCTCCCCCCTCCCTCCTCCTTCCCCTCCCTCCCCCATCCTTCTCCTGGCCATCGCCCCTACCCTACACCGCTCCCTACAGAGCTTCGCCCCCCCGCACAAGAACTCTCCAAGAGGCCCCCAAGAGGCCCCCACAGCCAAGAGGCCCCCAGAGGCGCTCACTCGCGTGCTGCCAGGCCAAGAGGTGCATGGCATGACTTGGTATTGCTCGGAAGCGAAAACGATGAAGGAAGAACCTTCCACCCGTGTCGTCACCATCGTCGGTTGTCGGGCGTCGGCAGCCGTTCGCCGTCAGTCGTCGCCGTCGTCGTCGTCATCGTCGGCAACTGTTCGCCGTCAGTCACCGTCGTCGTCGACGTCGTGGTCGTCGTCGTCGTCGGCGTCGTCATCATCGTCGTCAACCGCTGTCGTTAACCCGTTCGTCGGTCGTCGTCGTAATGATCCCACTCGTCGACCGTTGGTCGTCCATTGTCGTCGTCCTCGTCCATCCCAACAATAGCATCAAAAGCGCCCCGGATCGGCGGCAGGCCACTACAATAGCCAAGTCACGAGGCAATCTATAGATCAGGAGATCTGGCCTCTGGCGCGCCTCTTAGCATTAAATATCACCCTTGGCCAGAGCCCAGCATCAATGAACCGAGGATAGTCGCGTGTGGTGCTGGTGGTGGTTCGCTTCGATTCATTTGCATTCGGCGGCGAGCGCGGGGGGGAGTGAGAAGGAGAAGGATTTCTCAGAAGGCGGCGGGACTTTTCAGAAGCCCTCGTGCTGTCTGAGAAATTGTTGGTTTAGGACTGGGGGGGAAGCTAGGAAAACTTCCCAAAGGCAGGAGAGCTTCCGAGCCCACTGAAAAGGCCCGCCCTTTCTCATTTCCCCCCCGGGCTCGCCGCCAATGTAAGAGCACAAGCTTGGGCGGAGGCGTAGCAACCACACCACCCGCAAAACCAAACGGAGGAGGGAAACGAAGGGGGGTGAGGCAGAGGGGGCAGAATCAGGGAATATGCCTCGCTCCTTCCCTCCTCCATCCCCGCTGCTTCCCCTCCCTCCCGCAACTCGGGGCGACCGAAAGGGGGGGATAAGCAAGGGGGAGGCTCGCGAGCCGGCTGCAAGCAGCGCAGATGTTTTCCCAGGCGTCTCCTGGCGCCAGAGGCAGCCCAAATACTGAGAACAGGTGCGCTCCTGGCGGCGGGGCCGAAGCTGGCTGCACGCAGCAATTTTCATACACCCGCAACGACGACGACGCCGACGACGACGACGAGGACGAGGACGACGACGAGGACACCCAGAGCACGGGGACAACCACGGCGACCACGAGGACGACCACGACGACGAGGACGATGACGACAGCGACCAACACGACCTCCGAAGGCGACGACGAGGACTTCCAGCGGCGGCGGCGCTGACAACCAGCTGAAGCCGCGAGCCTTCAACGCCCCCGCAACGGCCACGCCGGTCTCGTCGCCGATGCGCCCCCCTGCAAGGCGCAGCTCCTCCGGTCCCAGCGCGGGCGCGCGGAATCGCCGACGCCGACGCCGTCCGTCGTCGCCGTCGGTCGTCGCCGTAATTCGCCGCCGTTATCGTGGCGAAACCGCGGGGTGGGAAGGGGGATGGCCTGCCCACGGGGAACCGCCGCGAGGGTCCTCTTCCTCTTCCTCTTCCTCCTCCTCCTCCGCGAAAATGAAGAATGCAATTATCCCGCCGCGCTTGGCGCCCGGCACTCCATTGGGTTATGTTCCTTTGCCGCTTCTACGTGCTTGGCGCCTATGGCATGACGCACGGGCGCGGCTGCGCTCTGATCATGCCGCGTAGCAGCATATCTGTGCGCCATGGGCCATGCGGTGCCCGCGTCGTGACCATCGCGAGGGTAGGGCAGCTCGCCCCGTCATGGCAGTGGTGCGCGGCTGCGGGCGCGAAGGCTGCTGGGCACGGCCGGCGGTTTGGCCTGGCCGCAGCCGCCGTCCGCAGCTTGGCAAAACTGCAGATGGGGGCCGACATCGAGGCCTGGAGTAGCATGCCAGGGTCCCCCGAAGGCTGGCGCCCAGCTGCCCGCGCCCTCCCAAACATCCGCGCGGTGCTGCTGGAGGCTTGGGGAGGTGGGGGGCCCGCGAAGTCGCCAGACGCGGCTCTTGGAGACTGGGCAACTGGCGCCCGACACCGCGGGCGCCCTGCGGATTGTGATCTCTGGCAATGCGATCGCGGAGTCCTTCGCCGCACTGTGGGGGCGGTCGCAGGCGTGCCCCAGCTGCGGCGCCGCAGTTGGGGACCTCGAGCACCGGTTGTGGGCGCGCCCGCGATCGTAAGCGACGCGCCACGCGGTTTTCGCGACGACTGGCTTCACCCCGGCCGCCGCGCGCGCTTGCCTGCCAACCGAGACCGCGAGGACAATCGTGCTCCTCCTGGACGCCCAAATGGCCGCGATGGCCGCCGTGGCCCAGCAGGCGCTCCCTGCCGGCATACATGGACTTGCTGCGCGGCCTGCATAAGGGTCTCGTTCAAAATTTTCACCTTCCAGAGTTGCGCGTCCCTCTGCGTTTGAATCACGCGGACTTGCGCAGCCAGTTCTTCGTGAAGTCTTCTTGCAATGGCTAACCATTTCTCTGCTTCCTGTTGCTGCCATGCAAGAAAAAAACCATATGACGACACTTGTGCTCCCTCATGTCTATTCATTCTGAACGGAACCAACTGAGATTGCAGCGCGGGCATGCGAGTGAACAACCACCACCCATAGGTCGAAAACACGAGCCGTGGGAATTATTCGCTTTCCCAGGACATCGATGTTTTACGGATGGGCAACATCGCGGTCCACGGGCCCAACAACTGATTCCAACGAAAGGCCCCCAGAAGATGACCCACGGGATCCTTGGCTGCTCTTCGACCTTGCGCGCGTTCTAGCTGGCTGGTAATGGCGATCGAGATGCCAATTTCCCGGCGGATTAACGTGGAAGCAACATTAGAATTGGGATCGGCCCTGGGATTTCATGTAGCCGGGCAGTGCTGACCGTCAAACAAACAGCCTGCCAAACTGGAACCATGCATTGGATAATCATGCCCCATGCTTACATCCTCTGGTACCTTGTGACGCTGTGCCCCGGGCGTCTCTCCTGTGCTGTCTCTTGCGTGGCCCTTCTGGAGTACAATCAACACCTTCATACATATATATATGTATATATATATATATAGATGATGGACAACATCTCAAAGTTCAACTCATCGTCTCCCATGATGACTGAGAGCCATTGGTCCAAACCATTTTCCCCTTTTCATCAATTGAACCAGCGCCGAGCCGCTGTCTTCAATAGGGGCGAAAATGGGATCATCGATTCAAGAAATATTGGGGGGCGCCTGGAGAGATATGACCTCAAGCATCATATTGCGGAATCGTCGGCTGTTCGTGTGCGGTCTCCAACGGAACAAATGTGTGGATGTCATTTGCTATTGTCACTTGCGCGTCGTCTACAACATTCGGGCTTTCGGGTAATAACCAATCACTCGCCAAAACAAACGGATATCCGGCAAAAAGAAAATATGATGGTGATGTTAACGTATCGGTCATATCGCACATGATGGGCATATGAGACATGATTGCTGTGTTCCGTTAGGCTATGCGTGACTGTATACAAGGGAAAAAAGGAGGGACGGCTACGACGACCCGCATGTGATTTTCCTCTCGCGCAGGCGGGCCCGCGGTGCCCGCGCGCCCGCAAAATAGCTGCGGGCGGCGGCGGCGAGGAGCGAGCAGGGAGAGAAGAGTAACAACCCTTTCGCATTACGCACTTCGTCAACACGTTGCGAGACACCAGACAAGAAAACAATAACAAACATATTGGATGTAAAGTAAGAGATTAGAAGGTAAATTAAACATTGTGCTAAATGCGTAAATGATTGAACGCTTGCGGGAAAAACGAAATGGCATGTTTGAGTGCTTGATGGCTTGAATGCTTGAGGATCCGCTTCCTTCCGTGAAAGTAAGTCCTTCTACGGGGCATATGAAGAGGGAGCCCGGAGCAACGGTGTATCCCAACATCGTTGGTGAATCTTGGGTTTCCACTGAATAGGTTCCCCCTCTTCCTCCCTTTCCTCCTCCTCGTCCTCCTTTTACTCCTCCTTTTCGTCGTCCTCCTCCTCCTCCTCCTCCTCCTCCTCCTCCTCCTGCTCCCGTTCCCGTTCCTGCTCCTGCTCCTGCTCCTGCTCCTGCTCCTGCTCCTGCTCCTGCTCCTGCTCCTGCTCCTGCTCCTGCTGCTGCTGCTCCTCCTCCTCCTCCTCCTCCTCCCTCCTCCTCTCCTCCTCCTCCCCTCCTCCTCCTCCTCCTCCTCCTCCTCCTCCTCCTCCCTCCTCCTCCTGCCCCTCCTCCTCCTCCTCCTCCTCCTCTCTCCTCCTCCTCCTCCTCCTCCTCCTCCTCCTCCTCCTCCTCCTCCTCTCTCGTCGTCCAAAGAGAGATAGGGAAGAGGGCGACATGGGCGCCTGTGATTGCCACGGTCTCGAGGGGAGCAGGTCCTGGATCCTGGGGCCTTCCCCCAAGACCAGCGAGTCATCCCTGAGTCGGTCTCGTCAACGGCCTGGTGGTCCGGGAAGGGCCCCGAAGAGGCCAAGAGCCTTGTCCAAGAGCCCCGCGCTTCCTGTGCCTTGGAGGACTGCCCGCCTGAGGGCAAAGATCAGGACACCACCGTCCGCAAAGTGCAGGAGCCAGGCGGGGTCCTCCTGGCAGTGTGGCCCCTCCTGCTTTGCGGCATCCTTGCCGAGACACCTCCAACACCCAGCTCGGGGAGGCATCGTGGGTCTCCTCGCTGGGCGTGGCCCGCGGGTAGTGTCGGTTCTCCTCCCTGCAAATTCTGGAACCTCGACGCCCGATCCTGAATCGGCCCCGGGGCATGTTCAGGGGCGACGCACTGGCCAGAATTTCGAAGTAGCGCATCCAGCCGCGGCGACGGGGGCGCCCCAGGACGCTCAAGCAGATGGAACAACAGCACAAATGAAGGGAGACACAAAACTAATAAGCATAAGCTGTCGGAGGTCCACGCGGATCTCTTGGATCCGCGCTGAACCACATCCTGACGCACGCGCCATGGGTGGCGCCAGAGGCGCCGCCAGGGGCGCCCAGCGCAGATCCAAGAGATCCGCGCGGCGATCCGAAAATCCATAGTTACGTCTGTCCTTGTATCCTGTCCGAGAAAAACCAACTTCAATCCCCCCGAACGGCCGTCCTTCAGGGTGCTGTTCACCCTCAGCGCCCGCGCCATCGCCACGCCGGTGCCATCGCCGAGCCTGGGCGGCTGGCTGTGGGGCGTGGCACAAGCTCACGTTCCCGCTTAAGCTCCCCCAGCCACACCTTACGGGGGGCGGAAGAGAATAGATCAGCTGCTCTACAATGCCGCCGAGGGGCCCATGCCGCTCCCTGCCCCATTCGTGGCTCTGCCGCGGAAGACCCCTCTATCTTCGCGCGGCGCTAGCACCAAGCCGCCGAACACTCATCAGCTTGCCTGGCCGAGAGCCGACGGACGTCGCTGCCCACGAAACGCCACCCGCACGCGCGTCGAGGCCCCATTGTGCAAGCGAACTCGCCCATGACTTTCCGTCCACGCGAAACCCGGCTCGTGGGCGAGCTCCGCGCCGAGCTGCTGAAAGTGAGTTTCCAATCGATCGAGCTTTGAGCATCGTTTAACCGACCCCCATCCCCAGCGGCGTGGCCTGGGCCCCGCTGGCCGACTTACCCCCTAGATGGGGATATAGGCAGTTGCCTTCGGGTTTCGAGGGGTGCATCCCCAACTGGGGTGGTCATTTGGTAGGGGCCTCGAACGGGGTGAGGATGGCCATGGGGGTCGTTTACAAAATACTGAAGCTTACTACCCAGGGCCTGCACCACCTTCGCGTGCTCTGCCACTACTGCCGCCACGCGGGCCTCCAAGGCGGCCGAGGCCCTCGGTTCGTCGGCCTCGCAAGTCGCCCCTGTGCCACTGCGCTCGGCGCAAGCCTTTCCCACATGATGATTACAGCACCTGCCCGCTCGCCCAGCGGCCCACAGTGGAATGGACATGATTCCTCCAAGGCCGAACTAACGACGACGTCGGTTAACGGCGATGTTGGGAATCCGACTTTTGTGACCGCGAACTCGCGCAGAACAAATTGTAGGACATCACGAACCATGCGAATGTATCGAGCGAGAACGACGCAGCGAATTGTAAGAAATGACGAACCACGCTGTCCTACAGTTGGTTTGGCAACGAACCAATCCCACCTACAATGCCGAAGCCTACATCGCCGTTACCTGCATCGCCGTTAGCGCGCCTACAGAGGATGTGCCAACCTTCAGAGCGCACCGCTTCGCACCAGACCTCCCGACTGAATGGCCTCAATGGGTCCGCCACCAGCCCGCATCACACCTGGACTATTCTCCCCGTAGTCGGTTGCCGACCGTCGGGAACAGCGGCTGGTCCCAGGCGCCCTGCTCTCCGCGGCTGACGCTTGTGAACCTCTCCATCCTGCCCACCAGATCTGCCAATATGCGACACGGGCAGGAATCAACGCGAACGCCCCGCGAGCACAAGCCTGGAGCCTGCCAGGTCGCCAGGGAGAGCGGGCTCCTGGGCCCGAGCGGCCCCCCCTTAGGGGCTCGACTCGGAAGAGGCTTACTTAAGCATAACTGATATCCGCCGACCCCAGAGGCGCGCGAGGCAAAGGGGCGGCACTCCCCACCACGCCCCCGCCCCGTCTGACCCCAGCAACCTCGACCTCCTTCGTTGGCGCCCCAGCCACCTCGACCTCCTGCGCGTGGTGTTTAGGGCGCTCCCACCCTGAAAAAACTCCCGCTGGCATCCCACACCGCGTCTGACATCCCCAGCCACCTCGACCTCCTGGGCATTGTGTTTTAGGGCCTCCCCACCCGGTAAAACTCACGCCGCCCCCCCCCCAAACCGCGTCTGACATCCCCAGCCACCTCGACCTCCTGGGCGCGGTGCTTTCGGACCTGCCATCTTGCCAGTACTCGCGCTGGCGCCTGCGCCCCCACCGCGCCTGGCACCGCCCGCCCCCTGGCGTCCTGGGCCTAGGTTCTCAGGGGCCATCCACGTTGCAAAAACTTCGCCCACCCCCCACCGCGCCCCCCACCACGCCCCCGCCGCGCCTGAGATCGCCAGCCCCCTGGCGTCGTGGGCCTAGTTTCTCCGAAGGCACCCACCCTGCAAAAACATCGCCGCCCCCCCCCCTTCCCGCGCCCCCACCGCGCCCCTACCGCGCCTGACGCCGCCAGCCTCCTGGCGCCCTGGGCCTCGGTTCTCAAGGGTCACCCACCTTGCGAAAACCTCGCCGGCACCCCCCACCACGCCCCACCGCGCTCCCACCGCGCCTGACACCGCCAGCCCCGTGGCGCCCTGGGCCTAGGTTATCGCGGGCCACCCGCGCTGCAAAAACCTTGCTGGAAGCCACCCGCCTTGAAAAAACCTCGGCGCCGCCAGCCCCCTGTGGCGCCCTGGGCCTAGGTTCTCCGAAGCCACCCGCCCTGCAAAAAACATCGCCGGCACCGCCGCGCGCCCCGCCGCGCCTGACACCGCCGGCCCCCTTGGCGTCCTGGCCCTAGGTTCTCTGGGGCCACCCGCCCTGCAAAAACATCGCCGCCCCTCCCCCCCTTCCCGCGCCCCCACCGCGCCCCTACCGCGCCTGGCGCCGCCAGCTCCCTGGTGCCCTGGGCCTCGGTTCTCAAGGGTCACCCACCTTGCGAAAACCTCGCCGGCACCCCCCACCACGCCCCCCACCGCGCTCCCACCGCGCCTGACACCGCCAGCCCCGTGGCGCCCTGGGCCTAAGTTATCGCGGGCCACCCGCGCTGCAAAAACCTTGCTGGAAGCCACCCGCCCTGAAAAAACCTCGACGCCGCCAGCCCCCTGTGGCGCCCTGGGCCTAGGTTCTCCGAAACCACCCGCCCTGCGTCGCCGGCACCGCCGCGCGCCCCGCCGCGCCTGGCACCGCCGGCCCCCTTGGCGTCCTGGCCCTAGGTTCTCTGGGGCCACCCGCCCTGCACAAACCTCGCCGGCGCCCCCGCCGCGCTCCCCGCCGCGCCCCCGCCGCGCCTGGCACCGCCAGCCCCCTGGCGCCCTGGGCCCCATTCCTCCGGGGCCACCCGCCCTGCAAAAATCTCGCCGGCACCGCCGCGCCCCCCGCCGCGCCCCCGCCGAGCCTGACTGCGCCCGCCACCGGGCGCCCTGGGCCTCGGCTCTCAGGTGCCACCCGCCCTGCAAGAACCTCGCCGGCACTCCCCGCCGCGCCCCCCGCAGCGCCCCCGCTGCGCCTGACGCCGCCACCCCCCCGCCGTCCTTAGCCGAGGCTCTCGGGGGCCATCCACCATGCAAGAACTTCGCCCGCGCGCCCCGCCGCGCCCCCCACCGCGCCCCCGCCGCGCCTGAGACCGCCAGCCCCCCGGCGCTCTGGGCCTCGGTTCTCCGAAGACACCCGCCCTAACGTCGCCCCCCCCCCGCCCCCCCCCCTCCGCGCCTGACGCCGCCAGCCCCCCAGCGTCCTGGGCCCAGGCTCCCAGGGGCCACTCGCCTTGCAAAAACCCCACCGGCCCCCCAACGCCGCGCCCCCCGCCGCGCCCCCCGCCGCGCATGGCACAACGCCAGCTCCTCGGCGCCCCGGGCATCGGTTCTTCGACGCCACCTACCCCGCAAAAACCTCGCCGGCGCCCCCCGCCACGCCCCCGCCGCGCCTGACAACGCCAGCTCCTCGGCGCCCTGGGCCTAGATCTCCGCGAGCCACCCGACCTGCAACAACGTCGCCGGCGCACCCAACCACGCCCCCACCGCGCCCAACGCCGCCAACCTCCCGGCGCCCTGGGCCCAGGCTCTTAGGGGCCGCAGAAACCTCGCCGGCAACCCCCGCCGCGCCCCCCCCGCGCCCGACGTCCTAACGTTGGGCCTAAGTTCTTCGGGGCCACCCACCCTGCGCCAACCTCGCCTGCACCTCCCCCACCGCGCCCCCGCCGCGCCTGACACCGCGTCCGACGCCACGCCTGCCGCCGCGAGCCCCTGGAGCGTCTGGGCACAAAGACTCCCTGGCCACTCACCCTACAAAAGCCTCGCCAGCCTCGCTCACCACCGCGCCCCCGCCGCGCCCCCGCTGCGCCTGACGCTGCGCCTGACGCCGCCGGCCTCCTGGAGCCTCGCGCTCAGACCTCGCCTGGCCTTCCGCCCCATGCACTTTTCTTCGACGTCGCAAAGGCCTCAAACGACCGATCAGCCGCGCGCTCGCGCCCGCGCTCCTGGTCAGCGTCGCGCTCGTTGCAACGCTGAGCCCCGTTCGGTCTCTGAGTCGTCCGCCTCGACGACCAAGCGCTGAATTTTACAGTCTCCAAGCAGTTGTTACACTGCGCGCGCTTCCAATGACCGCGCTGCGTTCTCGCTCCCTTGAAACAGTCGTCGCGCTTGCGATTCTTGTCGGCGACGTCATTCCACGCGCCCCTAGAGAATGAGGCTCGCGGCTTTTCCAAGCCGCACGCCGCGCGTGATCTCATGCGCCGCGCGCCCGCCCCCTTCGCGCATTCCTCGCGCATGCGATCTTGATCGGCGACCTTCGCCCAAGCCCGCCCAGGGAATGCGCGCTCCAGCATCCCCCCCCGCACGCCATGCACAGCCCCACTTTCTTCCGACGCCGCGCGCTCGCGCCTTCGCGCATCCTTTGCACTTGCGACCCTCATCGGCGACCTTCGTCCGCATCCGCCCCGAGAATGCGCGCCCCAGCTGCCCCTCCCCGCGCGCGCGGCCTCGCTTCCCCCAGACGCTGCCCCCCCGCCCCCTTCGCGCACCCGGCGCACTTGCGATCTCCGTCGGCGACCTTCGCCCACGTCCGCCCCGGGGGCGCGCGCCCCAGCTTCCCCCCCCTCGCGCCATGCACAATCTCACTTCCCTCCGATGCCGCGCCCCCGCGCCGTTCGCGCATTCTTCGCGCCCCCCATCTCTATCGGCGACCTTCGTCCATATCCGCACGGAGAATGCGCGATCCAGCTTTTCCTCTCCGCGCGCCGCGCGCAATCTCACTTCCATGCGACTTCTCTCGCCCCTCTCGGCAGCGCCCCGCAAAACGCGATCGACGCGCTCCCTTGGCATGGGCCCGTCTTCCCACATCTTCCTGGGATGCGAGTCGCGGCTTCTCTTGGCCGCGCCTCGAACGCTCTCCCCGATCCACCCCCCCCCCCGCGCCGCTCCTGCCCCTCCTCGAACTCGGCCCACTTGCGTTCGTCGCACAGCACAAACGCCCCTCGTCTTCGAAGTCGCGCA